GGTAACGCAGATTCATATTCTGCTAGAGGGCGCGTCTTTTTTCTTTAATAAGATTTCTCAGATATTCAAGCCGGTAGACAAAAATAAATATACTGTTTAATCAATACACGGAGCATTTGCTCAAATCTGGGTATCCCTAAATTTAACATTTAAGCGATAATATATATATATATATATATATATATATATATATATATATGGGCGTGTGTGTGATAAAATATATAGTTATGATCTATACTATATTTATGGCTAAGAGAGCTCTATATCAGTGATAGAGCCTGTATAAATATAAGAAGTACACCAGGGTTAACGACGAATGCAATCTTCAGGTCATGTGTGTTGAGTGGTAGATCGAGTATATATATATATGCTGGCCAATGAGGTATTATGAGTGGCATAACGCTTTGGGTGAGTTGTTGGGAGTTGGGCGGGGGCAAGACTGTCTAGCGTAACCCTACCGTCTCCAAGCATAATTCTCTTTTCAATCTATTTGCCTAGTCGACGTTCTATTAACGTTCTTCTAAGGCCCATTTGACAACTCATCAAAAATGTACTAGGAATGTCTTCTTTTTTTTTTTTTGTACTATAGGCTGCTTGTTTTAGCGTCATTTGTGAATCAAGTTCACGCCAAAAACAGTGAAATTCATAATTACGGCCGATTGCTAAAGACACTGGAAAAAATGGCCGCTCAAGAAAGTAAAGATTCTTTGTTGAGACATCGGAAGCGAAACATTTATATTCATCATCACAAGACCCTTAATGTTTTTTAGGTCCTAGCGGGCAATATATATATACTGCGTTAGTAAAGGCGTTTCCTAGGCAGGGAAGCCAGACGGAGTTCAGTCCTGTACGGGCTGACATTTAACAACTAAGTTTACATTGGCAGACCGCAATTTACTAGCAAAGATTAATTTGGGATTGCAATTATAGATTATGTAGAGTTCATTACATATGAAGAAATACAACAGGTAGCAAAATCAAATATAGGAACAACTTCTTAAACATGATGTTCTTGTCTTATTCTTGGTCTAATTTTGCTGCGAACTCTTTTCATCAGAATTCGGAAAAGAATGATTGTCCGATAGAGTTCGCATCCGTTTTTCCCTGGCTTCTTAGGGAGCGTTATGAAAATGGATCTGTTGAGGTCTTCCGGTATATCACCACTGTTTTAGATTTCATTTATTGAGTCTATAATCTTGCCAGTGTCGAAATTATAGGTTTCCAGCATCTCAATTACTTCGGGTTCTGCTGCTTTGTTTCTGTTCTATTTGACCAGTAATTATTTCACTTTAGAATTTAATATTTCTAGGCCTTCGATATTTCTGTGTATTATGGGTTGTCCTCTTACGTTGCGGAATAGCTCCCCAAATTATTCGTTTCATCTCTGATGTATTTTTCCTTTCTCTAATATCAGTGTCCCGTCCTTGGATTTTAGGCATTCTGTTGAGCATGTCTTCTGTCCTGTTAGTTCTCTTAATTTTTATGAAAATCTGATTTCTATCTCTACACAATTTTCGTTAAGTCATTCCACTTTAGCTCGCCTCCTAATTTATTTGTGCAATGTCCTGTATTCTTTGCCATAGCTTGCTATTTGTGTTTCTTTTATTAGAGAATGTAGATAATTTAATCTGTCACTAATTACCTTTTTTTGTTGTCAAATTTTCTTTGACATGATCTCGATCGCTGATATTACTAAAGATTCTTTTGATGTGTTCCACTTTGTATTTCCATTCTGATTTTGTGCATTGTATCTCCTTATAACGCTGTCTATATATTTCTCTCTCCCATTTGGGTCACTCGAGCGTCTGTCGTATTGCAATTTGGGTGCTGCCTTGGCCCTCTTCAATTTCCGTAGTTTCAGTTTAAATTTACGTATCACTGGAAAGTGGCCGCCCACGTAGTCGGCACTCGGATATGTTTTGCAGTATAAACGTGCATTTCTGAATCTCTTGCTGATAGTTATATAGTCGATTTGTACTAGTTGCTAAACAAGCCAAGAACGCTCACTTTCTTGCTATTAAAACTTAAGCGGAACAGAAGAGATAGTTTCAATAACTTTTCGGTATTTTGGAGAAAGTGAACGCAACGGCCTCAATTTGAATTTGAAGTCAGTACGACAAGCCCACTTTTCACACCGATAACCACTAAGCTATACGTACATCCGTAAGAGTGACGTAGTCTAATATAATTTATATTATATGAAATATCCAGTTCATTAATACTGTGACACTATTTAGCGTTTGGTTAATTAATTAAGCGTGAAAATTAAAAGCGAGAAATACTTAAGGTGAGAAGAAGCGATCACGAAAGACATACTGAGCGATGTTAATTTTTTTAACAAAGAAAAGTGGTAAAGATTTTATTTTCATTTGCGAAGAAAAGTATTTTTTTCGCAGAAGATAGGAAATTCGTAAGATCTCGGATCTGTCAGAATAAAAGATAGCAATCTGCCCATGGCAATAATGAAAATTTCAATGCAGGGCGAAATGCTGGAAAATAATCGTAATTAGGTCGAGGATGCGACCGAGAAAAAGGATCAGCTGAGACCACCCCAAAGAAAAAGGAAGGGAAAAGAGAAAAAGGAAAAGAATAAACCATTAACTATCTTTCGGAGATATCATTTGGTTTTGGAAAGGGACACATGTTTTATGTCCAGACCTTGGCATGATAAAAGTTTGTTACCGGGACAGATTGTTGACGATAGAAGTACGAAGGCGTTGAGGTTACAAAGAGATTCACTTGACCCCGCCCCCCTGATGATTATTTCTCGAAAATCTCGTTGATAAATTCCGGATGACATTCAGTTAAGATAGAGACTTAATGACCACACTACGATTCGTGGGGGTTCTAGTCAGGGAAAAGAAAGAAAAGAAAAAATGAAGAAAATTTTTTTCTTTGAGCGATAATTTAAACTGAGGCCAGACTAGCCACACCCACGCTGCCGAGCGTTCATTGGCTGAATGGTGGCGTGAGCGATGGGCGAAGGTAAACATATGAGAAAGAAGGGAAACCTGTTGACGCCTCTGAGGGGATTGGAGTAAGATACCAATATGAGAAAGGAAGAATTTGTGAGGACAATTCCCTTAAGAACTTCTCTAAAACAGAAAGTAATGGACTTCCAAAAATGGAAAGTGATAAATTTTCCTGTCCTTATTGCGGATTTGGAATTATCGAGAAACCCAAACCACGACAGGCCCCCACCCGGTTTTGGTCGGCGTCCATATAAGTGGCAGTTGGGCAGACGCGGACACTAGCAGACACTAGCGGACAGCAGGCAGACGGTAGCAATTGAGCTGTGAGCTCGGAGATCAGCCTCGCAGGAGCGGACTAAAAGATCCCACGCATTCCGACTTAGACTTCTAACCAAAAACAATTTATTTTTGAAGAATGACTTAGACTCACACCACCAAAACAAGTTTTACGAATATCGCCCTGAGATACCAAAAAACAGTTTCTTGAAAAACAACTTAAGATATTAAGACTCGCCTAACAAACGCAAACTGTCACGTATCCATAGAAGCGGTTTGGGAGAAAGACGCTGTCCTGTATTCAGAAACCAGATATAAAGATATTTGTTATTCTTTTTTTAACACATTTGAACCTTTCGAGTTGTTACTTTATTTTCTTTTACATATACTTGTGCAGTGTCACCTTTGCTCGAATTCGGCTTCCATTACGGCCCGACGACTGATTGATTTCGTCTACCTAAGATCAAATCACAACGTGGGTGGGTGGGTAGGTTGGACTAGAAATCAAAGCAGTTACTTCGGTAACCAGACGCTGGAGGCGAGATGGGAACGACATAGCTGATACCGAATCTAACCAGATTTCCATCCGAATCAAAGGTTTAGACCGTCACATTTGGCGCTGCGACCAATACCAAGCCACATTGGTCGTCACAGGATAGCACGGGGCAGAGGCACGGGGTGACGTCATAATACAAAATGAGGCAACACAGTGTTTTTCTCTCGTCATTTAACAACCGCATAAAAAAGCTTATTCGCGAATATGAAAGGATCCTATCGAAAATAAGTAGACAGAACGATATATATATATATATATATATATATATATATATATATATATATATATCACGAGGAGGCACGGTTGGGTAATGGATAGCGCCATAGATTGAGGAATCGGAGAGTTCGAATTCCAGTCGAATCAATTACATTCACTTACGTGCTAATACCTTTAGGAAAGGCGTGAATCCTCTTCTTCTCTATTCAGCTATGGGCAAATAGCAGGACAGACTAGGTTCTTGGATGGCAACTGGTTTAGGAGAAGGACAACTCTAAATTCAAAACCAGCGGATGATCATTTGGGTGCACCAGGTCTCTGTATTTGACCCTTCAAAAAGCGTGGATGGTCCTGCACGAAACCTTCATGTGCTGGTGTCGGGCTGTCGGTTTGTCTAGGAACTGATCTGCTTGGCCCTCATACGTCGAGTCGAGTATATATATATATATATATATATATATATATATATATATATGTCTGTCCGTGTTTATGTGAGCGGGCAATGCGCGCGCCTGCCTGTGCCCGCGCGATACAGACGGAAACAAAGATATATGCTCCGTTAGCAAGTCAATGACGGTACTCCATTTGCCATGACATGTAGCGAATTAATCTGCTTTTTTGTGCAATGCAGGATAGCTGTTGCAAGTAAGACGTAAATTTATATTCTTCATATGTCAAAGCACTTGATACTCACCTATTCAGATCTTTTTGCTGGAGTAGTTTCCTCTTATAAGACCTGTCATTATACAAGATGGTAGATTTTTATCTCCGGCCTCTTTGATTATATTTCTGCTAGGCTCTGTCTTTTATCGCCATCAATCATTTTCTAAAACGGTCTGTAAAACACTTTTCAAAAGCATAAAATGGGTGCGCTTACGTATGTCTTCTTGCGCTGTTATGCATGTGTGCTCGTGGTTCATCCATCCATCTATATATATATATATATATATATGAGCCACTTTGAAAGATTATATTAAATTCTAATTTACAGTTGGAGAAAGTCTGCTGCAGATGAGTTTGGAGAGAAGTAAAAAGGAATGCGAGAAAGAGAAGAAAGAGAAGAAAGAAGCAGAAAATGAAAGAAAGTGGTGGGGGGGGCGAGGAATCAAATAATAAGTAGAAAAAAATAAAAATAGAGAAAGAACTAAGAAAAGCATAGGATAAAAAGGAAACAAAGGCAAAAGCAAGAAAGAAAATCGTGTATGACGTAAAGAAAGAATTAACTAAAAAATTCAATTAAAGAAACAAAGGAAAAACAAAGGAAGATGTTATATGAGTAAAGAAAGAAGAGGCCAAAATAATATTAAAGAAAGAAAAAAGAAGAGCAAGTAAAACAAAAACAACAGAAATAAGTGGAATGGTGATTTTCTAAGCGTAGCTTAGATGAGGCACAAGGTTGAAGATATGGGGAAACCCTATGTGCAAAAGAAGGAAGTAAACGAAGCAGGAAATTGAAAATTAAAATTAGGCAATAAAAAAAGCATTGAAAAAACGACGAAAACAAACAGAAAATAAGAAAAGAGAGAAAGAAAGAAAGAAAGATGAAGCACAAAAAGAAAGAAGGAAAGAAATTAAGAAAATAAAAGAAAGAAAGAAATTACAAAATCAGCAAAAAGTGAAGAAAAACGAAAAAGAAAGAAATTAAAGAAAGAAGTAAAGAAAAGAGAAACAAAGAAAGAAAGAAAGAAAACTGTCATATAGGCATAGGCTTAAAAAAAAGAAACAAACAACAAAAAGACAAATATGCAAATGAAGGAAATAAATAAGTAGAGAAAAAGAACGAAATAGAAAGTATGAATGGAATAAAAGAAGATAGAAAGAAAGAAGTAAATAGACACACGTGAAAAAAGAAAGCAGGGATTAAAAATAAATAAATAAATAAATAAATACAAAAGTAATACCGAAAGCTGTGCAAATATCTGGGGAATTTGATGTGAAAGAAAATTACTTAACCTAACCCAAGTAAAATTCAGTTTTGCATCCTAAAACATATCCAAGCGGTGACTATGAGCGCAATCACCTTCTAGTCATATGCAGACTAAGAATAAAATTTCGGAAATTATAGAACCGTAAAGCAACGCCTAAACTATAGTACAGCAGATTTACAAACAGACGTCGGCTGATATAAAAGCTTCGAAGTGGTCAGTAAAACAAAGTGGAAAGCATTAAGGGAAGCACTCGCGACATTGGCAAAGAAATTCATCCCAGTAGTAGAGAGACAAGACAAAAGTAGATGACAAAGAAAATTCTCGAATAAATGAAAAAGGGACGGAAAATAATACCAAGAAATGGTATAGAATATAGGATTTTGAGGAAAGACATTAGAAAGAAATGCAAGCAAGCAAAAGATAAATGAATCAACGGAGAAGAATGTACAGATAAAATACTACGGAAAATCAACATAACAGGATGGCAAAAAATATAAAAGAAATAGCAGTAAAAAAATATGCTATTTGATAGGAGACAAAACTAAAAAAAATGGAAGACTCATAATAGAAAAAGCTAAAATACTACAAGGTTGGAATAGATCGGAGATATCTTTCATGAAAACAAAGCAGGGAAATCTTTAATGATATATTAGGTTGGTGCAAAAATAATGATGTAATAATGTCGTTTTTTGACGTTAAAAATACGTCAAAAAACGACATTATTACGTCATTATTTTTGCACCAACCTAATATAAACATATAATATGACTTTTATTATTATAACCTGAGCTAAGCTACACTGGCCACGACGAAAAAAAGTAAAGTAGCAGGGACGGATAGGATTGAGATCCTCTCGCTTTAAATGATAAGAGAAAATAAAGTTCATTCTTTTTTTGACGACGTTTCGATCGATATTAAAATTCTGAAAACTTTCGGGTATCCTCTCCCAGTCTGAGAGAAAAAAAGGAAACAAACAAATGCAGACACAAAAACAAAGAAAAATTATTAGAAAGAATGAAAGAATGTATGAATGAAAGAGATTGTAAAGAGAAAGAAATACACAGAAAAAAAAACTGGTTAGGAAGAAAATTTTAAAAAAAGACAAAAAACATACAAAAGATAACAAAAAAAAATGATTCAATTCTTTCGAATGGATGAAAGAAAGAAGGAGCGTCTAAAGAAAAAGAAATAAAAAATGAAAAGAAAAATGGTTAAGAAAGAGAAAATTAATGAAAGAAATGCACAAAGAAAAAGTTGGTTGAAAGTTCATAGAAAGAAACATACAAAAAAGAAATGATTAGAAAAAAAGAAAGAAGAAAGAAAGAAAGAAAAAAGAAAGAAATTGATTAGAAAGAAAAAGAAATAAACCCACAATGAAGAAATGATTACAAAGAAAGAATAAAAGCAAGAAAGAAAGAAAGAAATTGGTTATAAAGAAAAAAGTAAACGCGCGAAGAAGAAATGATTAAAAAGAAAGAAAGGAAAGAAATGAAGGAAGAAAAAAGTTGATTATAAAGAAAAAGAAGTAAAAGCACAAAAAGATTACAAAAGATTGAAAGAAAGAAAAAGAAATTAAAAGGAAAAAAGAGGAAAGTGTAAATTAAAAGAAAAAAATGACAGAAAAACTTTGGGTAGTAAACTGAAAGAAAGAAAGAAAGAAAGAAAAAATGACAGAAAGAAATAACTTGGAAGGTAGTATAAGAAAGAAAGAAAAGAAAGAAAGAAAGAAAAGAAAGAAAGAAAGAAAATGACAGAAAAGAAATAAGGTAGGATAAGAAAGGAAAGAAATAAGAAAGAAAGAAAGAAAGAAAGAAAGAAAGAAAGAAAGAAAGAAAATGACAGAAAGAAATAACCTTGGAAGGTAGTATAAGAAAGAAAGAAAGAAAGAAAGAAAGAAAGAAAGAAAGAAAGAAAATGACAGAAAGAAATAACCTTGGAAGGTAGTATAAGAAAGAAAGAAAGAAAGAAAGAAAAAGAAAGAAAAAAGAAAGAAAGAAAGAAAGAAAGAAAGAAAATGACAGAAAGAAATAACCTTGGAAGGTAGTATAAGAAATAAAGAAAGAAAATGACAGAAAGAAATAACCTTGGAAGGTAGTATAAGAAAGAAAGAATGAAAGAAAGAAAGAAAGAAAGAAAGAAAGAAAGAAAGAAAAACAGAAAGAAAGAAAAACAGAAAGAAGAAAGAAAATGACAGAAAGAAATAACCTTGGAAGGTAGTATAGGAAAGAAAGAAAGAAAGAAAGAAAGAAAGAAAGAAAGAAAGAAAGGAAGGAAGAAGTCGATTGTAAAGAAAAAGAAACATACAATGAAGTAATGGTTAGAATGAAAGAAAGAAACGAGCAACATATGCAAAGAAAGAAAGAAATTCACTGAAAAAAAACAAAAAAAAAACAAGAAAAATGTATAAAAGTAAAAAAGAAGAAAATAAATCAAAAGAAAAAGAAAAGAAAAGAAAAACAAATGTCGAAAGAATGTTGTGGGAATTGTTGAAGATATATATTCAATGAGAGTGAAGTGATACTAGTTGATAGTGGACGTAAGTTTCTTCTAGCAAGAAAATATAACAATGACTATACTAATATTTAATAACAACATATTTTATTGCCTTAGCAAACTTAATAGAAAGCATATAAAATGAGTTCTTTTCGTACGTACGTGTTTGCAAAGATGTTGATAGATGTTGATTGGAGAAAAATACCTTGTCGGTTTGGTAGGATTAAGTATGTCTGTACTTAGTCAAATAAGCTATGTAGTTTCTGGGTTGTGCTCAATGCAACATTAGGTTTGCAGATGGCTAAAAGACCTTCGCAAAGAGGGAACTATGCACATCCTATCTCTAAGTCTTCATCTGGCTAAAAGAGAAAAGACGGTAGAGAGACTTTTAGCCCTTTTTATATACTGCCTTTTTGCAACACCATTTGGCTGTCGTTGGTAGAATTTCCTTGGGAGACAAGTGGAGTAATCCCACAAAACAAGTAGGTGATAAAAGAAAAAGAAAAAGACGAGAAATACAGAAAGAAAGAAAGCAGAAGAAATAGAAAAGACAAAATGAAAAAAAAACGGGTTGGCGAGAAAAATTAGAAAAAAAACAAAAAACAGATAAACAAAACACATGGAAAACGAAAAACTGTGGCGCGCGAAGACGAGAAGGAAATGAAAAAAACAGATAATAATGAGAAAAACAAGCATAATAAAATGAGAAGAAAATACCGGAAGTGCATTTAGATACGACAGCATCCAAACGGCAATTTCCTGTATCATGACCATTTAATATATGCAAACGAGATCTAAAAAAAGAAAAATATAAAATAAAATAACAAGAAACAAAGAAAAAATGCATAGCTAACTGAAGATTTGTCATTCTGAACTCTCAGGCGGTCTAGCTTTTGCAATTGTCAAGTCAAAAAATTATTACCATTACTAATTGAGAAAAGGACAACATCACTAGTACGCAGGCACTAGTGACATAAGAACAGTTTCAACAAGAAAAGATACAGGTAACTCATTAATAATTCAGTAGATTTGGCATTTTACTTATATCATAGACATGAACACCACCTTATAGATGATGCAAAATCAATATTTTTCGATTCTTCAGCGGTTATTGATGTTGTTGGCTGGCCGCTCGTTTTCGCGTATGTCTGTCTACTAGGGCGGCTGGCCAAACCCTTACTCAGGCACACTTGTGTTTATTCTACGCCCACAGAGCCAACCTGTGATTTATACTGCAACTATACTAAGCGTACCTTAGTTACAGTGTTGTAATGTAAACAAAGAATGTGTTGAGATTGAGGGAAACACCTAAACGATTGTTCTCCCACAAACTACAAGGCTGAGAGGAGAAAGGAACGGGAAGTAACAAAAACGGGAAGTGACTACCTCGGAAACCACTCATGTTGACCGATTTCACAAGACGACGTGTCTAGCCAATTACTGGTTTTCCCGTTGCTTTTATTAGCATGATCATCTTACAAAGACCCGGATGCTGACTAGTTGCAGAGAGGCCCGTATTTAGACATGCCAAGCTGTCTCGCTGCTTCAGATGTAACGGGGCCCCCTTTGCGCCATATACAGTTTCTGGAGAGGGGGAAATTTTCTAACGTAATCAACAGTCTCAAGAAAGCCAGTAGTCATTTCCGTCGACACAACTTCACTCATTTGGGTCACCTGATATGGTTTTCAGACACTTTCCAACATTTGATAACATAAAGAAGTTACTTTCTTGGTGAGATTCCAACCCGGGATTCCTGGTTGGAAAGTGAATGTTCTCACCACTTGACCACGCGTCTATTGTCATAGGTATAGCATAGTGTAATAAATACTAATCTACAAAAATTGCTAAAAAATGTATTTGTACTTTTTTATGAGCGGACCAATTAATTTAAACAGTGTCGAAGAAGAAAACGAGATGTGCTTCTACAAACGTATTCTATGAATAATATAAACGGAACATGTGATGAAAAGGGAGATTCTAAAGAAAATGAAAACTTAAACGACATTTATATTTAAAATCACAAAGAGAAAGATCTATTTTCTCTGACACATTATGATGAAGGACGGTTTAGAAAACTTAATACATCGGCTTACGGCCACATCACTTCGAAACACCGGCTCCAGTATGATCACCGAAGTTAAGCAACGTCGACCTTGGTCGGTACCTAGATGGGTAACCACTTAGATGTTCGGGTGGTGTAATGGATAATAGCTCAGAATTGTTAATCGAAGAGCCGAGTTCTGATTCCAGTTTGGTTCATTATATTCACTTACGCGCAAATACACTTGGGAAAGGCATGAATCCACATCTTCTCCCCTACCTATGTGTTAATTAGTAAGACTTGTATAACTAAACCATTATCATCTAAAAAAAAATCATGCAATCTAAAAATATTTTCTAGCTTTAAATAACCTGCAAAGGGTTGATAAGCCATAAAAAAAATCCATCAATAAAAAAAACATTTAATACTCCCAGGACGTATTGAGGGAAGGAGAGCAGAATGAAACAGTGAGTAACTTATCTAGTGAGTTTAGATGAAAGGTTGGCATAGCATAAAGAAAGAGAGATTATGAAGAGTTAATGTTGCTTAGAGAAACAAGGAAAGGAAGTTGTAGAGAGCTGTGAATACTTTTGACGCAGTAATATTGGAAATGAATAATATCAGCAGTGGTATCCAACACATTAGGCGAAGTAGAATTTATTGAAAAATAGTCTAGGTCGCTCTCAGGTGTCGACGATTACATAGATGCCACTTTAATCAAGATTATCATTACATCAATAGATTTGTTGAGAAAGATGAGCTTCCGTCCACTGAATTATTATTACACTTGCTTTTTTTATGCTTTTTTAAAAAAATTATACTTAACCCCCAAATTACTGACATAAATATGCATTTTATATAGCGTTGCTACATACCAGAATATTGTTTGCTTACCCGCCGGATATTTCTTTTGCATGTAGACTATCAATTACTATTTATTTTTTATTAGTATTTATTTACATTAATTTTTTTCTTTTTACTTAATTGCTTTTTATCACAAGCCGTCGATCTACTGCAGTGAATAAATAATGCGGTTACATTCGAATTCATGTTTCTTTTTGCTTCAGGGAAGCTTACTAAACGCTCAGCCCTTTTGCTGTTGTTGGTCGTATATTGACGACCTGAAGAAAATTATGTTTGAAAAGCAACGAAGATGATTTAAGAATAAAGTAAATACAATAAAAACGTTTCATTAAAAAAAAAATCAAAATTAATTTTAACAGGTAAGTAAAGTAAATCTGAACAGTCTAACTATAGATTAAGTCAATAGTTCAGTACTGAATTCCTTGTAGGTTAAGCACACCCATTTTATGCTTTTGAAAAGTGTTTTACAGACCGATTTAGAAAATGATTGATGGCGATAAAAGCCTAGCTGAAATATAATCAAAGAGGCCGGAGAGATCAGATCAAAAATATACGTTTAAAGGTGAGACCAATATATGCATTTAAAATCAGATTAAAATATGAGTTTAAAGATAAAGTTTAGTCTTTGCTGCTAGTAGCTCTTTCTCAATGGATAAAAATGGCTTTGAGTCAAAGAAACCTGTGTGTCTTGGCGAACATTGTTGACTGGTGCTACACAATCACACACACACACAAAAAGAACTGTACCAAATAGTAGAATTCACAACACTTGAAGACTTTCAACAGTACAAACACTTAAAAAGTATATCACATATAACTCGAAGAGAAAATAATGACGTAATCGAAATGTTAAAGTTCCACACTATTACCATAAAAGTATTTATAGAAGAGGCAACAATGAAGCTATATGACGGCGGTTGGAAAGTGACCGAAGCTGAGATGCCAGATTAGGACCAGTAAGACTGCAGATTCTTCTTTGGATTTTATCAAGAATTTCTAAGTATATAGCAGGAGAACAAGACCATATGTGGCAGTAATATTTGAAGCATGTTAATCTAATGATGAAGAACTAAAAGAAGTCGTGAGAATGTTCGATAATTAATGTCGCATTTTTAGAGTAAAACTCTCAACCAAATTTGATCTTGCACTTTATTTTACTGGCTGTGAATTTGCATTGTTATTCGGAAGGCATTTGTATAAGTTAATCTAATGACTAAAAGAAGCCATAAGAATGTTCGATAAATAGTGTCGCATTTTTCGGAACTAAGTAAAACTCTCAACCAAATCTAAGAGAAAGAATGTTATTTTTTTAAGCGCATAATCATCATTATTACCAAAAGTTCTTTGTTAATCATTTTTTAACAACCTAGAGCAAATTACAAAAAAAAGAAGTCTTTCTTTTGACACCAATATTACGAGGTAATTTTTATTTTTTATCATTTCACCCAAGCGAGGCAATGAAGCCACTAAGACGCTAGGGGCTACTGAGTGTGAAAGAATAAGAAAAGGAAAACATTATTAAAAAGCGAGAACAATAAAAGAAAAGGAATCAAGAAGACAGTAGAAAACGATTGACATTGAATTTGAAATTTTGATGATCAAAATTGACTGGGAAGCAAGAAGTCAGAGAAAAGAAAACTGTTAGCACAGAACTTATGGTTACATCTAGCCATTTCGACTGTAAAGTCTAGATACCACAGAGCAAAGTTCATCAGAACAATTACCATGAAAGTATTTATGATTTATAGAAAAGACAGAGGGAAGCTTTCATTATAGTGGTGGGAAAGTGAGTAAAACTGAGGTGTCAGATCAGGTTCAATGAGATTGCAGATTCTTCATTAGATGTTATCAAATATATTTCAATATATAGCAGGAGCCCTAGGCCATATGTAGTAACAATATTCAAAGAAAGAACGAAAAGAAAACCGGTCTATTGATCGATATATTTCTTTCTGTCCAAATACCAAAATTGACATGAACACATAGAACCTAGAAGTAATATACCACTTTCCCAGTTTCTTAAGTAAAAATGTCAGTTGTTATCTGGTCTTTTTTTTTTCGAAACTCATATCAGTTGCCCCATCTGCTTTCTAAATACGTGACTATGCGCTGATCCCACCCAAAACGTCTCCTTTGCACGGGGTTCTTTTCTAAATTCTGTTGTCATCATTGAATATAAGCGAGTTGCAATAATTAAGTTTGGCATGATGAAATGGTTTGCAAAAGTATCATTGAAGAATATAGAGGACGGTGTGGAACAATCGTTTGGATTTGACTCTCTTGAACGGGATGCTAAAAATGGTAAAGTATTGGGGAAATTGAGGAAGTGGATGGTGGTGACAGAAATAAATAAAATATATATGAAAGGTGAGAAAGAAACGAACAGCAGAAGAAAGAAGAAGAAAATAAAAGAAGAAAAAAGATAAATAGGCATTAAAAGAAAAGAGAATAAAAAGAAGAGAAAATGATATGAGAGAGAGAGAGAGAGAGAGAGAGAGAGAGAGAGAAGTGAAAGAGATACGGAGGGGAAAGGAGGGGGAAGAATGAAGAAGATAGTGAGCGAAGAGGAATACGTATTAAAAGAAAAAAGGATGAAAAGAAGAGAATGATATGAGAGAGAGAGAGAGAGAGAGAGAAGTGAAAGAGATACGGAGGGGAAAGGAGGGGAAGAATGGAAGATAGTGAGCGAAGAGGAATACGTATTAAAAGAAAAAAAGGATGAAAAGAAGAGAAAATGATATGAGAGAGAGAGAGAGAGAGAGAGAGAGAGAGAGAAGTGAAAGAGATACGGAGGGGAAAGGAGGGGGAAGAATGAAGAAGATAGAGAGCGAAGAGGAATACGTATTAAAAAGAAAAAGGATGAAAAGAAGAGAAAATGATAGGAGAGAGAGAGAGAGAGAGAGAAGTGAAAAGAGATACGGAGGGGAAAGGAGGGGAAGAATGAAGAAGATAGTGAGCGAAGAGGAATACGTATTAAAAGAAAAAAGGATGAAAAGAAAGAATGATGATGAGAGAGAGAGAGAGAGAGAGAAGTGAAAGAGATACGGAGGGGAAAGGAGGGGGAAGAATGAAGAAGATAGTGAGCGAAGAGGAATACGTATTAAAAGAAAAAAGGATGAAAAGAAGAGAAAATGATATGAGAGAGAGAGAGAGAGAGAGAGAGAGAGAAGTGAAAGAGATACGGAGGGGAAAGGAGGGGGAAGAATGGAGAAGATAGTGAGCGAAGAGGAATACGTATTAAAAGAGAAAAGGATGAAAAGAAGAGAAAATGATATGAGAGAGAGAGAGAGAGAGAGAGAGAGAGAGAGTGAAAGAGAGAGTGAAAGAGATACGGAGGGAAAAAGGAGAAGAAAGAACGAGGAAGAAAGCAAAACAACGGAAAAGGTTACAAGAGATGAATTTTATGAAAGGAAGAACTGAAGAATCAATTCGAGAGACAAATAATGTATATAAAGGGTGTTCCAATAAATTGGACTGACTTTAAATCTGAATTAAGTTTAAGCGTCTAAAGATTTTTTCTTTTTCTTTCAGATTCGGCGGATATTTGGGCAATATTATTTTTCACATATAATTGCCATGACTTAAATAACATGATCCAATAGAGAAATAAATAATTTTTTACCAATAATACTCATTTATTTACTGCTGACTTTGATCCGTCTTAATGAAACACCCTTTAGATGAGAGAAAGAGAGAGAGAGAGAGAGAGAAGAAGAAGAAGCTGGATCTCAAAACAGAAAATAAAAATGAAAGGACAAAGACATCAAAGAAAAAAAACGGGGAAAAATGACAACGTGAGCAAAAAGAAGATGAGAAGGTTTCGAAGAAAATGGAGGAAAGTTAAAAAGGGGAAAATAGAAGAAGAAATAAAGTTAGGTGAAAAGAAGGATGATGAGAATTTAAGGGAAAAGACAGAGCAATGAGAAGAGAGAAAAAAAGGAAAAGAAAGAGGATAAAGTGAGATGAAGGAAGACGAGGAGAAGGTGAAGAAAAAAGGAGTGAGATTTGGAGGCGAGGAAAAGGAGATAGTGTAGAAAGTGAGAAACATTAAGACGAGGAGAAAGTGAGGAAAAAAGGAGCGACAGTTGAAGGTGAGGCAAAGGAGGAAGAGGAGGAGAAGATGAGAAAAGGAGAAAGTGAGAAAAGGAGGAAGAGGAGAAAGTGAGAAAAGGAGGAAGAGGAGAAGGTGAGAAAAGGAGGAAGAGGAGAAAGTAAGAAAAGGAGGAAGAGGAGAAGGTGAGAAAAGGAGGAAGAGGAGAAAGTGAGAAAAGGAGGAAGAGGAGAAAGTGAGAAAAGGAGGAAGAGGAGAAAGTAAGAAAAGGAGGAAGAGGAGAAGGTGAGAAAAGGAGGAAGAGGAGAAAGTGAGAAAAGGAGGAAGAGGAGAAAGTAAGAAAAGGAGGAAGAGGAGAAGGTGAGAAAAGGAGGACGAGGAGAAGGTGAGGAAAAAAGTAGGAATAATTAAAGGTGAGGAAAAGAAGGAAGAGAGGAAGGTGAGAAAAGGACGAAGAGGAGAAAGTGAGAAAAGAAGGAAGAGGAGAAGGTGAGGAAAAAAGGAGGAATAATTAAGGGTGAGGAAAAGAAGGAAGAGAGGAAGGTGAGAAAAGGACCAAGAGGAGAAAGTGAGAAAAGAAGGAAGAGGAGAAAGTAAGAAGAGGAAGAGGAGAAGGTGAGAAAAGGAGGAAGAGGAGAAAGTGAGAAAAGGAGGAAGAAGAGAAGGTGAGAAAAGGAGGAAGAGGAGAAAGTAAGAAAAGGAGGAAGAGGAGGTGAGAAAAGAAGGAAGAGGAGAAAGTGAGAAAAGGAGGACGAGGAGAAGGTGAAAAAAGGAGGAAGAGGAGAAAGTGAGAAAAGGAGGAAGAGGAGAAGGTGAGAAAAGGAGGAAGAGGAGAAAGTAAGAAAAGGAGGAAGAGGAGAAAGTGAGAAAAGGAGGAAGAGGAGAAGGTGAGAAAAGGAGGAAGAGGAGAAAGTAAGAAAAGGAGGAAGAGGAGAAAGTGAGAAAAGGAGGACGAGGAGAAGGTGAAAAAAGGAGGAAGAGGAGAAAGTGAGAAAAGGAGGAAGAGGAGAAAGTAAGAAAAGGAGGAAGAGGAGAAGGTGAGAAAAGGAGGACGAGGAGAAGGTGAGGAAAAAAGTAGGAATAATTAAAGGTGAGGAAAAGAAGGAAGAGAGGAAGGTGAGAAAAGGACGAAGAGGAGAAAGTGAGAAAAGAAGGAAGAGGAGAAGGTGAGGAAAAAAGGAGGAATAATTAAGGGTGAGGAAAAGATGGAAGAGAGGAAGGTGAGAAAAGGACCAAGAGGAGAAAGTGAGAAAAGAAGGAAGAGGAGAAAGTAAGAAGAGGAAGAGGAGAAGGTGAGAAAAGGAGGAAGAGGAGAAAGTGAGAAAAGGAGGAAGAGGAGAAGGTGAGAAAAGGAGGAAGAGGAGAAAGTAAGAAAAGGAGGAAGAGGAGGTGAGAAAAGGAGGAAGAGGAGAAAGTGAGAAAAGGAGGACGAGGAGAAGGTGAAAAAAGGAGGAAGAGGAGAAAGTGAGAAAAGGAGGAAGAGGAGAAGGTGAAAAAAGGAGGAAGAGGAGAAAGTAAGAAAAGGAGGAAGAGGAGAAGGTGAGAAAAGGAGGAAGAGGAGAAGGTGAGAAAAGGAGGAAGAGGAGAAAGTGAGAAAAGGAGGACGAGGAGAAGGTGAGGAAAAAAGGAGGAATAATTAAGGGTGAGGAAAAGAAGGAAGAGAGGAAGGTGAGAAAAGGACGAAGAGGAGAAAAGGACGATGAGGAGAAAGTGAGAAAAGGAGGACGAGGAGAAGGTGAGGAAAAAAGGAGGAATAATTAAGGGTGAGGAAAAGAAAGAAGAGGAGAAGGTGAGAAAAGGAGGAAGAGGAGAATGCGAGGAGAAAAAGGAGCAATAGTTAAAGGAGAGGAAAAGAAGGAAGAGGAGAAAGTGAGAAAGGGAGGCAGAGGAGAAAGTGAGAAAAGGAGGACGATGAGATGGTGAGAAAAAAAGGAGGAATAGTTAAGGGTGAGGAAAAGAAGGAAGAGGAGAAGGTGAGAGAAGGAGGAAGAGGAGAAAGTGAGAAAAGGAGGAAGAAGAGAAAGGGAGAAAAGGAGGAAGAGGAGAAAGGGAGAAAAGGAGGAAGAGGAGAAAAGGAAGACGAGAAGAAGGTGAGGAAAAAAAGGAGAAATAGTTGAAGGCGGAGAAAAGAAAGAAGAGGAAAAATGAGAAAAAAAGGAGGAGGAGTTAAGGAAAAAAAGGAAGATGCGCAGGTAGAGAAAAACAAAAACAAACAAGTAAAAAAAAAAAGAAAGAAGGGGAAAAATGAGAAAAAGATATACGATCGAAAGGAAAGAAAATGGCTAAGGTAAGGAAAGAAGGGAGAACAGTATAGGAAAAGAAAAAAGAATATTAGAAAAAGAGATCTGCGAAAAATAAGAAAAAGTGAAAGCAAACGAAAGAAAGAAACAAAGAAAAAAAAAAAGAAAACGAAAGAACTTAACAAGAATGTGAAGAAGAATTGTAAAAAGAAACGATGTTAGCTGTAGGAGTCGAGCAAGGCTGAATATATTTGGCGTATAATTATTCCTGTAGAATTCCAGCCAAACGAATCGGTCATGGTTTCACGCCAAGGCGCCTTCTGTCAGAAACAGTGAAAGATACGAAAAAATGATTCAAGCAGGCAGATAAGGAAAAGACACCCGAGAAAATAACCTTAGGGCAAGGCAAAAAAGGGTAGTGGAGAAAAATAGATAGGAGTGAGATAGATAAATATCTTTACAACACTGGAAAAATATATATCAGAGAATAGAAAGAATAAATGCTACCCACTTCGCTCCTCTGACCAGATTTATATATTCAGGATAGATAAATGTGTATAAACTCGGATTAATACATAGATTAAGAGATGGATAATAAACAGACTAAGAGAGATATGAGCATATATATATATATATATATATATATATATATATATATATACCCAAGTATATAATTGGTGTATACGGAATGAATTCCAATAACCAACAATTACTATTCTTAAAAGAGTGCTCAATACAGAGTAGAGCAGATATACATCAGTTAATAAGACACCGGAGGTGTTCAAACAAAATGGCTATTTTTGTAGTGATTTTATAACATATTTCTGTTAATATTTTTTTTTAAAATAAATAATTATATATATATATATATATATATATATATATTTCAGTCCCTAAAATATACACATTTTTTACTTCGACATCGGTTTGAATAGTTATAAACCGTGTGCCACAAGGTCTACAAACGACCCTCCCCAGGTTTTGAATTCAGAGTTGTCGTTTTCCTAGACCAGTTGCTAAACTGGTCTAGGAGAAGTCTATCCAAGCCCATAGAACGCAGTCTGTTCTACTGTTTAGCTGGGAGAAGAAGAAGATCCATACCTGTCCGAAAGCTATTAGCACGTAAGTGAATGTAACGGATTCAACTGGAGTTCGAACTCGGATCTCCGATTCCTCAATCCGAGCCGCTATCCATTAACTCCACCCTGCCGCCTTCGAAACAGTGTGTGATATATACTAACAGATGTATATGAACCAATCGATGGATCGATAGGTAGCTATCAGTATATATTTCTTTCTCCCTTTCTCTCTCTCTTTCTCTCTCTATCTCTCTCTCTCTCTCTCTCTCTCTCTCTATATATATATATATATATATATATATATATATATGATAAATAGATATATACATGGATAGGGAAGAAAGGGCAGACTAAAATAGATAAATTGATAGATAGGGACAGGCAGAAAAGGAGAAAGAATGAAAGATTTGAATAAACTGTCACGTACAGTCTAAGAGAGCCTCAACTACTTTTTCAGAATCCCTATATTTATCTGAGTACCACAACGGAAGAAACGCCTTACCCCATTACGGGGGACGTTCTTCTTAAGATCTTGACCCATCATCAATATTTACTTTCCCAAACTCAGTCAAGATCATGCAAGCAAAACAAAGACGAAAAACACATACTAAGCGATCGTTTTACTTCACAAACAACGACTTACCAATCCCAGCAAATATCATTTAAGGCCTCAATAACTAAAGATGATTTCTTCTTGTCACGGTTATATCTCGTTAAAAGCTGAGATTCGCGCTTGATTTCCACTGATGAGCAACTGGTTTAAATCTCGTTTGATAAGGAGGATGAAGTTGTGGCGAGGATGACGGCCGCAACGGAGTTTGATGTTCTCATTTCTCTAGTATTTATTTATTTACTATTTTCCCTTTTGAGTGAGTGTGTGGATGGGAGTTTAGTGAATAGAATGGTGACTGATTTATTTATTATTTTATATTTTGGATTTCTGGATGTGTGCGTAGCTTTGCGCTTATCGACGCGGGAAATGGGATTGCCATGCCGAGTTCAAATTCAGCCCGCTTCCTTTCGCACGAATGACCTTGGATCGCCATGAATCAGTGTATATGATAATAGCGTTAGATAGCAACAAATATGTTAGCTATGAATCAATATATAATATGATAATAGCGTTGTATAGCAAAAATCTGACAGCTATGAATCCATATATAATCTTGACGATAACGTTGGATAGCAATGAATATGATAGCTATGAATCCATATATTTGTAGCCCTATGCTTCACAAAGGAGTTTACAGTTAAAAATGTGAGTTCCGTGCTTACATGAAAGTAGGAAGATTGACTCAAGCGCTCTCGTCATTTCTCTTTTGAGAACGCCACAGGCACCAAAAATGAACTTAACCCTTCAATAAAAAAAAAAGGTACTGCTTGTAGGGACGAGCACTTTAGTCTCGGGCAGGTTTTACTTGATTTTAACTCCGATTATTTCCAAGTGATCTCATTTATTATGATTATTATTAGTTTAACCTAGTTTGGAAAAAAAGGTCCACAGTAAGAGATACTTGTTTAGAATCGAAGAAACTTACCCAGGAATAATAGCCCAACTGTTATTAACTTACCTTAACTGTTTGGTAAAAAGTAATTTGATCACGGAAGGTCATTTTTTCCTTCTACGTCAGTGGTACACGAGGTCGAATGAGAGAAAAGCAGGTAAGATTGTCACGTGCCTTAAGTATACGTAGGGAGTGCGTTACAGTCCTAAAGGAGGTTTCTATCAGGCCCAGTTTCCCAATACTTCCATGCGACCGGGAATAGTACTTCAATTTGAAATTCTTTGCAAAGAAATTAATGCAAGGGTTACTAATAGGATAAGGCTATTATATTTATAATGTAAATGTATTTCTAATAATTTTTTACGATAGTAATGCATTGCAAATAATTTTTACTATAGAACTGAAAGCCACAAGCATATGAGATGCGGACTCAGAATTAAAGAGAAGGCTTCTGATAAAATAAGTCTGTTATATTTATGACGAGCTTAAAAGCTACACTCCGTGAGGACTTTTAAGTTAGCTCTTGCGGAGGAATAATTGGGCTTCCGGTTCAAAACTAAAAGAACCTCTTGTCCAGTTTGAAAAAAAATAAAATAAACAGCGATGATAGTTTTGAAGAAAGAACTTTGAATTCTTCAATTCACTCCACGGGACTTCAAAACCTCACTTTAACTCTGATTCGGGCTATAAGTCCAATTTCAGCCAAAAGACCGATTTGGGCCAAAATTCCAATTCAGGCCGAAAATTGAGTTCTTCAAATCACAAACTCCGTGGAACTTCAATCGAGTTGTGTTCTTAAAGCACAAACTCAGCGCAACTTCTAAACCCCACGTCACGAAACCTCTCACATTAATTCTGATTCCTTGGCATTTTCAAGAAATAAAATTGATTTCCTCAATTCACAAAGTTTTGGAGATATTGCAAATTAAACTGAAATTAAAAACGAAAATTTTTAAATGCACAAAATCAAGTTTTGTGTTATTTTAAATTCAATATAAACTAAAAACTTTTAAAATCGCTAATGTTTCACAGTTATTTCAAAATTTGAATTTTTAACTGCCCTCTCTTCATCCGGACACACATCCCAATGTTGGATGTTCAAGCACTAAATGAAGGACAAATTTTCAATTCCGGGATTATCCTGATTCCAAAAAGGTATAAAAATGTCTATGTTGAGCAAGTGTGGCCCGATTTAGAGGGGGGTTTCAGTACACGGACGGACAGACAGAATTTACCAATTATAAATACGTTACTAATGATTTCGAGTATAGAAATACACTGTAAATAATTTTAATATAGAAATGCACTGAAAAACCCCAAAGAAAGGATTTCAGCAGCAAGCGTTACCAGCAAAATAGTTATTTTATGTGTAATTATTTCATATTAAAAATAATCCACTTGATTTTGATTTCTCAGTTAACTGAACCAGCAAAGCCGGTAAGTGTGGATATTCGTTAAGATATCAAAAACTCTGAAGGCGGTTAAGTATAACATATTGTTTATTGACGCAAGAGTGAAAAAAAAAAGTTTATGGGCACTAGGCGATGAAGAGGGGGAGGAGGAGGAGGAGGAGGAAGGTGATTGATTGCGCACCGAAAGATCCTGACTCGGACAATTGATATATTCTGAGATTTACTTGTAAACTTCAAACGAGTTGATTTACACGGTTGCCTCAAAGAAGATAGTCTGCTAAGATGTTGAAACTGAGAACTGAAAGGACGGCGAAGGTATGTGTTTTACTTAAGAACATTACAGGTAGGCATAACATCATTCTACTTCGATATGCTCTATAGAGCGTTTAATCGCCTGTGATCTGCTTGGTTATACATACATCTCTCTCTCTCTCTCTCTCTCCCTATATATATATATATATATATATATATATATATATATATATATATATATATATATGTGTGTGTGTGTGTGTGTGTGTGTGTGTGTGTGTGTGTGTGTGTGTGTGGTGCGATTGGTCTTGTCATTTTATATTTTTAATTTTGCGCATGCGCGTTATTTTATTTTATTTTTGTTTTTTGGAGTACACAGTATAGTAGGGTCAGTTGGGCACAGTCTGTGAGAAAAAGAGCTTCATGACTCAAAAAAAGAACAAATAACCCTCACTAGCGTCTGATCACGTGATCGCAGCAGGGCAGCCTGATGTTGCCTGGAGTTAACTCATGGTCAATTGCCCAATGGTCGCGTGATTTTGGAACCGGGTCATTCTCGTGTTGGATCGCCCCAAAGTTCATAGGCCCTTGGTATGAGGTTGGAAAAGAAGGAAAGACAGAAAGAAACGGAAGAGAAAAGGAGAAGGCTGATCATAGAACATATTCGCTCGCAACTATTTGGGGGGGGGCATTTTAGCCTCATGCTTATATAGCTAACGAAATCGTATATAAATCACAATATATCCTTTCGGGAGCATTTTCATGACACTCAAAAACGTTTTTGTCTTTGTCCTTGTGTTGAGGAAGCACAGTCTGTAAATGTTGTTTCAACTTTCATAGAATCATTTGACAAATCTTTATTACGAATAACACATTGAGGCCCTTCTTATCCATTAATGATGATCGATGTGAATCCATATTGAATATATGAAGAATCGTTCCCTCTTTTTTGACACTCATCATGAGCTCCAAACTGTGTAAATAAAAAAAAATAAGAAAAAGTCAAGGATAACTATAAATGTATTACTAGAAAGCTAACAGTTTGAGCCGATCAATATGTGGCCCCAATTCCCACTGAAACACTCAAATTCTCTCGTGTGTGATACCCATTCTCTGAGAGACCCTAGTCTTGCACAAGTACTCAAGTATGAGGTACAAACTCAAAACTGCATAAAGATTGATATGACCAACTTGCTAACCATCGCTTCATTAAGACTATGAGGATCTAATAAGCAACAATAGTAATAGTCTATGAGACTAGACTGTTAAGCACTGCAATGTGTACATTAAAGCAAGTACACCATGTAACGATCTAACCTCCTACAGTTGTAATTCAGGTGTAAAGATACAGGGTGACCCCCAAAACGGGAATTTTTTAAGTGCGTATTGCCAGACATTAGCAAGTTGCAACACTGCAAGACAGTGACCTTAAGCAAGTAAACATTTCGCCATTTAGAATTCAAGGTGAAATTCACAGTATGCCAGCTGAGATGTTGAAGCAGTCAATGAGGAATCTCAGCATCAGATTTCAAGAATGCATTCGTACAGGAGGACGCCATCTACAGGACGTAATTTTTAAAAAATGAAAATTCCATCATTGTTTCTTAATGGCATATTTTAAGGTTTCAATTACTATGAATAAAATATTTTTCTTCCATCACTCTTGATTTTATTGGATTGTTAAAAAGTTCCCGTTTTTTTGGGTCACCCTATATATCCATTGGTTACCATTTATGATTGGGTTTCCGGTTCCGTCTAAAGTTTTCTCATTCTCTTTCACTTCCAGTAACCCCTTGCGTCTTAGTGTCATTATCGTCTTGCTTGGGGTGAATTGATTAAAAAATAAATTGTTTAAAAATCATTTAAAACCTTAAGTTATTACGGCACAAAGCAATGCATTTGGAGCTCTCATTAAGGATACAAGTCATTACAGTATTAATAGTTTATTAAATAATTGACTAATCGTTGCACTATTATGAACATATAAACACAAGTATACGGCACTCTTACGGACAATTATAGTAGCATAATCTTAATAAAAAAACGATAAAAACACAACTTTCTGTCTAGAAGATACCAGGTTTACCACTCCATAGTGGATGGGTCAAATACACGAATGAGAAACGACAGCCAAATGTAACGAACAACACGCCAATATACAAATTAACAAGATTGAATTATAACTAGACAATACATGAGAACATTAATGCAAGAGAATTAGTGGAAAGATGTGTGTTATACATTTCTGTGTGGGAAGATGTGTGCGTTATATTTCTGAGATTGAAAGTCAAAACCCACTTATCTTGAGTCTTTCATCTGAAATGAAATAGGATTTTCTCTTTTCCTTTTTCTCTCTCTTTTTCTTATTTTATATTTCTCTTCTTTCTAATTTCAGTTCAAATCGTTCGCTAGAGAAGCGGTATCTTTTGATCTATTCTTTTTTCTTCACTGTTATGAATTTTGACCCCCAAATGTTGGTCGTTTACTCACTTCTTTTATTCAGCAATATAGAATTTGTCGAAAGGAAGATTCAGCGCTGTATAAATTGTACATATTCAGTAATGTAAGATTTATTATTCGGAAACTTCATCCTATTGAGTGGGTCACACATGCCAGTCTTAGGTGATTGTCAAGTTTAGCAATTCACCTATACATTTGATGTAAGCAGCATAGTGTATTAAGTTGAATTGAAATTTGTCTTCATCCTATGATTTCCTTTCGTGACGGTAACAGCTAAAAAGAGATGTTACTCACACTAATCTCAGTTTCCAACTAATTCCTGTCGCTCTTTTCCCGCTCGGCGTTTGGACACGTGATTCTGAAATTGTGTGAGAATTCAGTTTTAGTTTCCATTCGGATCTGTTTCCGGGCTCAGTCTGTCTGACCTAATTGTTTTTACAGTCAGGGATTATTATTATTATAGATTGAAAGAGAGAGGGGGAGCTAATGTATTAGATTATTAGAGAGATGAAAAGAGAGATGGATCGTTGAGTGTAAAATGTGAGTTTAGGGTTTGGGGGTTGCGTAAGGACATAACAGGCACCAAGTGAGGATCGAATTCACTTCAGCAGAAAGAGACTATAGACTAACCATTGCAACGTATACTTTAAAATAAATATGTGGTACCCAGTAAGAATCAAACTCGCTACAGTTGTAATTGTATATGAGACTTTTGCTAAGCATTGCATTAAATGGAAAGCCTCTGTTTATATTAGAATCCACCTAATACAAGACTAGAGAGCCACTCAAAAAGGTTACTATCAAGATAAATAAATTTTGTGATATGAAAAACAAAATGGAGGCAGGAAGAAGTGGAGATTTTTAAAATAAGGGAGAGAGATAACGTTTAGTAAGGTACAAGGCCAAGCATATGAAGCTCGCAAACTTTCCATAGTAGATGTTATATACCATACCTAATGAACACTAATGGATATGTCCCAATCC